GTTATGCTTTGTGGTCTAGGTTGCACATGCAATTCAATTTTCGAGGACTGAGGTGAACTTTAGAAATTGGATTCTCAAATCGTAGTATTGATTCAATTTTTTTTTTCATTTTCATGAGAGTTTTACAGAACTAAATCCATTAAATTAAAACTCAACAATGAACCAGATACCTCGCCAGTGAAATAAATCATCGCACATACGATCCAACCGATTGGTAATATGATAAACAAAATGTAATATTCAAAAACCAAACTATTACTTAAATCCTACTCGTCTTGCGGCTTTAAGAACAAAAATATTAACCAAATTTGCATAATCTAGTTGTTTAACCATTTCTTTCTCAATTCATAACATAACCAATTACATGGACTTGTGCAATTGATCCAACATAGTTCATTAAGTGCATCTGTGGAAATAGTATAGAATAACACTACATAGATATTGCAAGTCAAGAAAACTCGTTATTCCCAAAATTCAAAAATTACTAAATTTTCCCTCGAACAAGTTGGAATATACGAAATTCTAACGTATGACTCAGGATAATAAAAAACTTCAACTAAGCTCATGTTTGGCGTAGCTAACAATAGATTTTGATAAAAGTTGATGAAATGTATGATTGAAAAGTTACGGGTTCCATGAAATCTGTCGATTAATTTTAACTTAATTTTTTGTTGACCTTTTGACTTAAATGTTTTGTAAGGATGCTTATAATTACAATTTGTTAGGTGGCACCGGCAGAGCTCGAAGAGCTTCTTCTAACTCACCCCGAAATAACAGATGCTGCTGTTATCCCGTAACTAGACAGACTCATGCTTTAGCTAAGCTTAAAAATTTACTATACTGCGTAAGTAATCTATAAAAAAATGCCATTTTGTAGATTCCCGGACGCCGAAGCTGGTGAAGTCCCAATTGCATGCATTGTCCGGTCATCCAACAGCTCACTGTCTCAAGAAGAGGTTAAAAGATTTATAGCAGAGCAGGTAATTAATTAATTTAATTCCGTATATTTTCTTATTTATTTAATTTTTTGACATATGTGTAATTTTCCCAATACTGATCGCAGGTTGCCCCTTTCAAGAGATTGCGAAGAGTGATTTTTATTGACAACATTCCGAAATCAGCCTCGGGAAAGATTCTGAGAAGGGAGTTGAGACAGAAAAATCTATCGAAACTGTAACCGCGTTCATTTCGGTAGACGAAATTAAAATAAACCAAATCACGGAATCCATAGTGGTTTAATTAGGAGTACGTCTTGAGTACGAAGAAGAGGAAACGAAAAGAACATAAAGATATTTGTACTTTGCATCGAACATAATTTTGAGAAGTTCAAAACAAATTGGTATGTTTAAAACATAGATATGTTGCACAATATGGAATTTAAGAGGCTGTTCTCTTTGTGTTTCAATTTTTTATTTTGAGTTTTGAATTCATTTTGGATTTTGTGTTTTGAGTGTTCATTTTAAGATTGTTGAAAACGTATTCTTTTTGACATTTTGAAAAATTGTTTTGCAAACACTCAAAACGCGTTTTGAAAACTTTGACTTGATTACAACTGAAAACACCTGAAATGATAAATTTGTCGTGTTAGGTTTTTTTTTTTTTTTTAAAAAACAAATTTGGTTGGATTTTTGAAAAAATAATTTTTTACCTTTTTTCAAGGTTNTGTTATCTTTGACATTTTGAAAACACTCAAAACGCGTTTTGCAAATTTTGACTTGATTATAACTGAAAACACTCAAAACGACAAATTTGTCGTTTTGGGTTTTCTTTGTAAATTTTTAACTTGTTTTCAAAAACGCGTTTTCGAAAATAGAAAAGAGAACGCGTTTTTACTGTTTTGAAAAATCGAAAACAGAAAACGGCTTGAAAATGATAAATAAAATAGACCCTAATTATTTCGTTTAAATAAGATATTGGGTTGAAAGTTGAAAGATTAGAAGGATGTTGATTATATAAAAGGTCTAAAATTATCAAATATTACCGTCCTCTCTTCACAAAAGAGTCTAAGAGCCTGTTTGGTAGGAGTTTTTGGGGGAAAAATTGATTTTTGAATAGTGATATGATAGGAAATGTGTGGTTGAAAAAGAAGAAAAAATTATTATGTGATGGAAAACATTATTTTATTGAAAAATATGTGGTTGAAAATGAGAATTGATTTACTGTAGAAAATCAAAATCCATGCCAAACAGGCTCTAAGACACCATCCCATTTCTACTCAATTTCACATTACACGTATATTTGATAGGAATGATTGAACAGCAGTAGATTGTATCGAAGGAAAAAAGTTAAAATTCTATTCACATGCTAATGTAATTAGATTGTATCTAAAAAACATTACAGAAGTGACATGATGTATCTTTTTTTTAATTAAAATATCATAGGCTATTTAATTTTTGGCTTTTTAATCTAAGCTTACAATATTCTTAGAGAAATATTTTAAACTAATATTCGACTGTTACTTTAATTTTTATTGCTTTAGATAAGAATAAAGGCATGTAGTAGAGTGACATGATTTGTCATTTTTTAATTAGAATATTTCAAATTTAAATTTGGATTTTATTTAACAGTACTTATATTCACATCGCGGTTTAAAAAGTTCAGTTTAAGTTCATTAACTAGAATGTCGCATAATGTGCCACTTTTTCATTAAAGTCACATTCTGTATTTTGAACTAATTATTTTTCTTTTCATTTTTAATAAAATTTCTATTTTGGGCCAATTCCACTTCTCGAGAAAAAAATCATATTTAAGGTAGTTATTATAAGGTGTACTTGTACAAATACCCTATATTTTGGGGTAACTTGAAAAAATATGATAAACTTTGATTAAATGAAAAATAGTTAAAACTGAATGTATATTTTACACTCAAACATAATCCACAACAGTTTGTCAAAATCAGCCCACCAATCTCGAAAAATCAAAGGAAAATCGAAAGGAAAGGAAGCAATCTTCCACAAATAAAGCACCAACGAGACCAAGATTGCTTCAACTATCATTTTTCAAAGTTCTCTTTCCCAAATCTAAAAATATCCAAACAAAAATTACAGGTTTTTGATGTGTTGGATTTTTCTTTAACTAATTCACCAATTCTGTAATTGTAAGATTGTTTAATGCTCTCTTTACACTGATTTAGAAAACAGTAACTGTAATGATCAATTTCGAGGTGAATAAACTCCCACTTACAAATTATAATCATCTTCTTGCATTGTCTACATCACTTTTCTTTGAATTTCATGATTACTTTAGTTTGAATCATAGAATGTAAATAATTGGCATTTTTGAAGCTTCTTTTTTGATGATTTTGCTATTGTAACTGAAAAAATATTTGGAAATAACGTTATTGATTTTGAGAGGGAATGGATTGTTTTAAAACATATGAAAAATAAAATTTTGAATCANAAATTGATGCATGCAAGGTGTTTGAAAAAAAAAAGTGAATGTGAAAAAGTGACGTCCTGTCACTTTTCTATAAAAAAAAAAAAGTCGCAGTATTTCATTAAAGCAATTAACTAGATATAATACTTGTTTATTTTTGAAAATTTAAACATATGGATCCAAACTTTATTTTCCATTAATATATATGAAAAATTAATTTTCAATCAATTCAATGGATGCATGAAAGGTGTTGCGAAAAGCATTTGGAAAATTGACTTATTCTCAAAAAAAAAAAAAAAAAGGCCACAGTATCTTATTGGAGTAATTAATTAGATTTACATAGATATGCATTTTTGGAAATTCAAATAAACGAATTCAAACCTTATTTTATGTTAATACATATGGAAAATTAACTTTGAATTAATTTAATAGATGCATGCAAGGTGGTTGCAAAAAAGAGTGTGTGAAAAAGTGACATTTTATTACTTTTCTATGAAAAATCGCATTCGGTCACTTTTCATTAAAAAAAAAAAGTCGCAGTATCTCATTTAAACAATTAACTAGATGCATATACGTAGATTTTCTGAAATTTAATATATGAATTCAAACATTATTTTACTTTAATACATATGAAAATTAATTTTGAATCAATTTAATAGATGCATGCAAGGTATTTGCGAAAAGGAAAACGTGAGCATATTTGGTGCACATTAAAATGAGAGAATGCAATTTTTTGAAGTGATGTAATGAGAAATATGTGGTTGAAAAAGAAGGAAAAATTATTGATAGATGAAAAATATTATTTTATTGAAAAATGTGTGGTTAAAAATGAGTAGAAAAATGAGAATGAAAAAATAATGTGACTCAAACAGGGGCAGAAAAAGTCACAATATCTCATTAAAGCAATTAACTATATGCATATATATGTGTTTTTGAAAATTTAAATATACTAATTGAAATTTTGTTTTAATCTTGCATTCAATTCATACTTATTTGAATCAATTCAATTGATATATTCAAGGTGTTGTGAAAATGAGAGTGAAAAAATGATCTACTGTCACTTTTCGATGAAAAAATTGCATTATCACATTGAAGTAATTCACTAAATATGTACGTGTTTTTAAAAATTAAAATATACGAATTCAAAACTTGTTTTAATTTTGCATTCTATTCGTATTTCTTTGAATCAATTCAATTAACGCATCCAATGTATTTGCGAAAATGAAAATGTAAAAACGTGAGATTATTTGAAAAAATTGTGGTGTCTCAACGGAGCAATTAACTAGATGCATACGTATATTTTCAAGAATTTAAATATACGAATTCAAACCTTATTTTAGTTTTACATTCAATTCTTATTTGTTTGAACTAATTCAATTGATGCATCCAAGATTTTTACGAAAATGTGAAAGTGAAAAGGTGACATAGTTAGATTTTTTCTTTTAATTTCTGTTTTGGCCATGCTAGTTTTGGCCTATTTACGAGCAATTTTATTCACTCGTCGAGTGATGTTTTTGTTATCGTTTCAAAGTATTCACGTCAAACTTTGAAATACATCTTTCGAATGCAGCAAGAAATTGAGTTCAATAATTCATGCAAAATAATTTTCGACATTTAAACTTCGTCTATAACATATTTATTATGGTCACATTACAAGCTTTCTAATAGATTTTAAATCACTCAAAAAGGATAACCGTAGTAGAAAATACTGTATCAAATGAACTTTTTAATAATAAAAAAAAAATTTAAAAAGTGAAAAATATCGTGCGGCCATTCCTCTTTGGAATGATTTTGCTGCCTTTTAAGTGTGTTATATTTTTAGTGGACGTAATTAATACGGTTATTAAAATTTTAATTTTGTTTTAAGTGTATTAATCAATTTCTTCTTCTTTTTAGAGTGTTATGTCTAATTCCTATTATTATAATACACAAATTCAAAATTAAGAAAATTATTTTAAAATTTCAAAAATCAAGTCTTAATTAAGATTTATTAATTTAAAAAATATTTTATGAATTAAATATATTAAAGATTAACGTTACAGTATTATACAATTCATGGTCGCAATTACAAATTTTATAAGTCACAACTTATTTTTCGATCAAAAGTATCAAATTAATTGGTCAAACATTATTTCTCAACCACAAATCACAAATTTTATAGATGTCAATTTCTTTTAACGATCACAAATTATCAAATTGAAAGATCACCTATTATTTCCCAATCACAATCCAAAATTCAAAAACATTATAGGTCACAATTAATTTAATACAATTTATTTATAATTACAAATTATTAAATTAATTGACCAGATATTATTTCTTGACCACATACCACAAATTTTACATGTCACGACTTATTTTACAATCACAAATTACTAAATTAATTGATCACAACTTAATTATTTTATTGGTCACAATCACCCAAATAATTAGCCACAAATTATTTATTGATCACAAATTAATCATTTTATTAGTCACAATCACCCAAATAATTGGTCACAACAATCCAACACAACACAACCCAACACAACACAACACAACACAAAAACCAAAATGTGCACCTACGTCTACACCACCACCGCTAGATCCACCACTAGCACCACCACCACCACACAAACACAAAAACTAGCACCTACATCCATATTACCACCGCCAGCACCACCACTCCGACCACAAAAAAAAAAAAAA